TAGATGATTCTAACCAGATGTTCCACACCTATTTGGGGGGCAACCGTTTCATCTGATCTTTGGACATTTATGTACTGTTCTGCATTTTATATAGTAAAAAGCTGAACTTTTGCAAATTGCTTGATCTGAAGTCCTTTAAAAGGTTTATTGCAAGTAACCAACACAATTCCAAACTCAGTCTACAGTTTGGGTCGCTAGCACATGGGGTCTGAAGAGTCGGTACATTTAAAGTTATCCAAGTAAAAGTTCTACATGTGGTTGCCAGGAGCAACAGAGGTATAGTCAGCAAGCAGTCTGTCAATAGCATGTACCTATTAAAGGTGGAACTGCTTCTAGTTGAAAGGGAGATGTTGTTGGCACTCTCTACATGTTCTGTCTCCCATAGCATTGGAGCGGATCTGAGAAAGCTGTCCACAAGGTTTAGGAGGGTGTCTATGGGAATGTTTGACCATTCTTCCAGAAGCGCATTTTTGAGGTCAGCCACTGATGCCGGACAAGAAAGCCTGGCTCGCAGTCTACTCTCTAACTCATCCGAAATGTTTTCTGTCACGTTGAGGTCAGGACTCTGTGCAGGCCAGTCAAGTTCCTCCACCCCAAACTCGCTCATCCATGTCTATATGGACCCTTGCTTTGTGCACTGGTGTGCAGTTATGTTGGAACAGGAAGGGGCCATCCCCAAGCTGTTCCCACAAAGTTGGGAGAATGAAATTGTCCAAAATGTCTTGGTATGCTGACTCCTTAAGTGTTCCCTTCACTGGAACTAAGGGGCCAAGCCTAACCCCTGAAAAACAACCCCATACCATAATCCCCCCTCCACCAAACCCTACACTTGGCACAGTGTAGTCAGGCAAGTACCATTCTCCTGGCAAATGCCAAACCCAGACACGTCCATCGGATTGCCAGACAGAGAAACGTGACTCGTCACTCCAGAGAACACAGTGATAGGTGGCAAGCTATCACTGTACCACGCTTGAATTTACTGAGCTCCTGAGAGCGACCCATTCTTTCACAATGTTTGTAGAAGCAGTCTGTATGCCTAGGTGCTTGATTTTATACACCTGGGGCCATGGAGGTGATAAGTGCAGAAAAGAACCTTTCCGTGCCGAGCCCAAAAAGATAGGAATAGTTTGAATAGGAGAAGCATAATCTGATCTCACTAGCTGATTTTATATACATAAAGTATACAGTTTATTATTCTTTGTGAATTCATACTGTATACTACTTGTGTATATGGTACCCAATGTGAATGTAAATTAGGAACTGCTGTGTAAGTTTTTGTTTTATTTTTTTTTAAATCACTGTACATATGTATTATATACTCACCAGCCACTTTATTAGGTATACCTTGCTAGTATCAGGTCGGACCTCCTTTTGCCTTCAGAACTGCCTTAATTCTTTGTAGCATAGATTCTACAAGGTGTTAGAAACATTCCTCAGAAATTTGGTCCATATTGACATGAGTTACTGTTGCCTTTCTATCATCTTGAACCAGTCTGCCCATTCTTCTCTGACCTCTGACAACAAAGCATTTTCATCCACAAAACTGCCACACACTGGATATTTTCTCTTTTTCGGACCATTCGCTGTAAGCCCTAGAGATGTTTTGCGTGAAAATCCCAGTAGATCAGCAGTTTTTTTAAAAACTCAGACCAGCCCATCTTGCACCAATTACTATGCCACATTCAAAGTCACTTAAATCCCCTATTCTTCCCCATTCTGATGCTTGAACTTCACTAAGTCATCTTCACATCTATATGCCTAAATGCACTGAGTTGCTGCCATGTGATTGGCTGATTAGCAATTTGTGTTAATAAGCAATTGAACAGGTGTACCTAATAAAGTGGCCAGTGAGTGTACATGTACTATGTTTTATTATCACTTTCTATATTTATATGTTGGAGTTTATGTATTTTAAATAATTGTAGGAAAATAGTTTATTGCTGCTATTAGCTACACATGTGTTATAAATTGCTGTTTGTATATTATATCTCACTGTATATTTAATGGCACTTTGGTGGATTATAACTCACTGTGTATATTGCAAAACATTGGTGACTTTGTCACGGTCTTGTAAACCAATTGAAATTTGCAAATCCCTAACACATTGATGTCTTTACAGGACAGACATGACAGGCATTGGCTGTTCCATGTTTTACAGCGGCCTCCATGTCTCTTTGTCTCATTATGCAGTGCAGCACGTTGTTCACACAGTAGTGCTGAACTGCCATCTATGAGCGCTGGGTCAACAAACAGGACTCTAATAGAGTGGAATGGCTGTAGACTCCCCAAGTGCCAAGCAGCCTTCTTTTAACATCTTAGTGATGAAACTGTGACGTGCGAGCAATTAAATGCACTGGCCGCTGGCAGCAGCACAAAGGCCTCTTCGCTATCCGCCGTGTCCTGAGGGCTTTCACATCAAATCCTCATCTTCCAAGCTGAGCGGGAAGGTCTCATTGCAGGCTGCGGTATGATGTTTATTACATGGGCCACAGGTGATTGTTCAGGTGGATCTGCCAGAGTTTGTAGAACTTGATAAAACAAGCGGGACTAATTAGGGCTGCAATCTGTGGAGCTGTACGAGGAGGGGAGAGGCCTGAAAACCTTCTCTGTGCTGAATGCGAAGCCTGGAGATGGAGTAAATAGCACAATAGTGTTAATTGCTCCATCTCATCCTCTGCCTGTCTCCTGACCATCGCCTGACCTTTTATGTACACATTGCAGCTTCTATCACACTTCTATTGTTGAAAGGATTATTGCTTGTTAGGCCAAGCTGACAAAAGGACAGACATATTCTGAAATAATACAACTTTAAATGATCTCAGAGGGGGGCCAATTTAGGAACGTTGGTAAAGCTTCTTCTTGGTGAAGGTTGCCCGTTCCTTCCATGTGCTGCAATTTGGATATTTTATAGCAGTATTGTCAGTGCTTTGTTTTGCTGGATGTAATAAAACCATAAAAGGTTATGGGTTTGTTCAGCATTCCTTTCATGTTTATTATAATAGGTTCTGTCTGTGTGATGGGGAGGGGGGAGGTGGGGGGCATGAAGTTGCATCCTGACCCCCCGGCAGGTAACTCTTAATGGCTCAGGGATTTTCCAATTCCTTGCAGTACAAACTTTACAGTAACTCATGTCAGTTCCCTTGGGGTGCAAGATAACCATATTAGTACATGAGAGGGGAGCCAACTAAACTGTTCTTGTAAATGTAGGATGAACCCTGAAATATAGAAAGCAATGTCCCATGTAATTTCCCATAACATTACTGCACCAATGAATGACACCTGACCTCCTGGTCACTAAGCTGAAACTTATTGCGCAGCTCCATACCCACTAAGTGTGCATGTTAGCCATAGAAAAGACAAATACGTCTTAGATTTGGGGACCTGTGAGCAGTAGATCTACCTCAACAAATTTGTCTGCAGCAAATGTGAATGTCTGTCCTCTCAAACATCAGACCTTTCACCTTGAAGGCCCTTCACTTGCTACTGTTTCCTGCTTATATACCAGCTGAGCCCTCTTCTCTCCTCTCCAATGAAGTAAACTGGTTTTCTCAGCAGAGTTGAGCATGCTAGTTCATGGAGTGTTCTGAAGACAATCATATGGTTCCTGCACATGCACAAGTGAAAGGCCACCCAACAGGAACAAAATGTGATGACACAGTGAGATTGTGGCAAGTAACCACTCATAGAATATGGGCTTCTGTAACCATTCCCATGAGGGATCAACCTTTACATTACATTTATTGATATGTGTGTAATAATGTGTCATCTTGGATAAAAGTAAATACACCTGCTATACAGAGTTCAATATAAAACACAAAATAAAGAGAAACACATGTTCCTGTTATCATTCATATAGCAGGGTATAGCTGGAAAAAAATGTATAGCTTTACCAGCAAAGTTCTGGGTTGTTATCTAAGTGAATTAGACATGTTTACCAAGGTCATTAGATTGAGCAATGAAAGTATCCAACATCAACGTGTGACATATGGGGGAAATATTATTATCAATGTGTGGAATTCAAAGCCAGAAACATTTCAGAGCACTAAGGAAGAGCTTACAGTACTTAGAAAGGGCTCTGCTGAAAGGAGCTGCACTGAAATATCTCCTACAAATTAGAGTATCACCATAACGGACCAGGATGAATTAAACATCACCTACAGATCAGAGAATCACCACACCAGACCAGGAGGAATAAAACATCCCGTACAGGTTGGAGTATCAACATACTGAACCAGAAGGAATAAATCATCCCCTATAGATTAGAGCATTGCCATATGGGGCCAGGAGGAAAAAAACATCTCCTACAGATTATAACATCACCATATGAGCCAGAAGGGATAAAGCATCTCCTGCAGGTCAGAGTATTACCATACTAGAACAGGAGGAATAAAACATCCCATAGAGGTCAGAGTATCAACATACTGGACCAGAAGGAATAAATCATCTACAGATTACAGCATCACCAAACAGAGCCAGTAGGAAAAAATCATCTCCTACAGGTCAGAGTATCACCATACCAAGCCAGGAAGCATAACACATCTTCTACAGATCAGAGTATCATCATACCAGATCAGCAGGAATAAAACATCCCCTACAGATTGAATTATCATTATACGAGACTGAGGGGTATAAATATAAGTATAAATCTAACACTGAGGCACCAGCAAACAAGGCATGGAAATATACATTTGGCATAAACTTGGTCACCACCATGCTGTATTATCAATATAAATAATTACTGATGACATTACCCTACAGATCAGAAAGGACACATTTTTTCTTACATACTGGAAATATACTTCTAAATGTGTAATGAAATGGATCCTCTTCTGTGGATTTCGTATTCATGATCCAGTTGGAATAAAATGCATCTTACAGATTTTTCCTATTTCCGGCTGAGCCGGTCCTTTCAAGGAGACAGCACCAGATTTTCTCTGAGAGATGCCAGTTTGGAGTCATCAAGATCTCTGGCCAAGAAGAGCCTGCAGCCAATCATCTGTATGTTGTTGGTTGAACTGTGTGAGAGATTCACCTTTTTTGCCACTGTGTGCAACATGATTCTGTTCTGTACACTGAAGCTCGGGTACCAGTACCACCAGGCAGCTATTGCCAACCTCTGCTTTGTAGGTGCCTCCACGTTAATGCCTGTCCTTGTTGGTTGGGCTGCAGAGCTGATTAATGCAAGAACAAAAATCATCTACATCTGCATATTCCTGCACTTCACAGGTAGGTGACTGACATTTTCTAAATACTGCGTAAGTGACTGAGCCATTTTCTATATGCACTTGCAAAGTGACCAGTGGAATTTCAATGTGCACTAGCCATAGCACTTGGTATGAAATATATGTTTAAGGTATACTGATGCAAAATCTGATCTTGTTCTCAGCTAAATGTATATCTTCACTCCGTGGTGAAAGTATCTGACCTTACATCATGATCCACTCCGCTTTCTGAATAAATTAATCTAGACTCCTGATCCTTATGTCTGTCATGGAGTAGAGAGAAAACGATCAAAGTGAAATTTTAGAGTGAAAAATTCACCAAATCTCAGGTGGAGTAAATGAGTTGCAATGCCTCCACCATTATGGATGACTTTCCTACAACATCTTAATCTATGGCTCTGTCTTCATAATCAACCACTCTGCCATATTCACATTGCATATTTTACTATGTTTTTGACATTCACTAATGTAAAGATAAGAAGGTGAAAATGTAAGTATTCCTTTTTGTAGGCTAACAGAATTCAGTTAGGCAATGAAAAGCGATGCTTGCGTTTTTACTTTCTTACTGCTATCTGTGGCTAAAATGGTACAACATCTTAGATTTCCACAATAGAAGTTCACAGTAACACAGATACATTGCAGGTTATTTTTTGCAATAGCAAACATGCTAGTTAGAGCTGTCAGCTCTCAATGAAAATTCCCTTAGGGGAAAGACCTCACAGCTCCTCCTGGGCAGGCCTCCTCACAGAACACACCTCCACAAAGGACACACTTCATTAAAGGACACACTTCCTCAGCATCAATGCCTCATAAAAGGTGTTTGAAGAGAATAATTCTTTCTAAGATAGGCAGTGAGAGGCTTTGTATATCTTTCAGAGTTTCCAGTGGTAAAATGACCCTATCACAATAGTCAGATATCCCACAGCAGGTTGCGTATCTGTCTCTCCAACAAGTGTGAGTTTTCCCACCAGTAATTTGTATCTCCACCATTCTAGCAATGGTGAAATTTCAATTTAGTAGTATTCGTCCTTGCCCCCCCCCACGATGGTAAGATTTCTTGCAGTAGTTTGTGTCACTGCCCCTCCCAGAATAGTGATATTTTTTCACAGTAATTTGTATCTCCACTCCTCCCACAATGCTGAAATTTTCTAGCAATATTTTATCTCTGCCCCTCCCACAATGGTGAGATTTCCCACAATAGTTTTTATCTCTGCCCCTCCCACAATGGTGAGATTTCCCACAATAGTTTTTATCTCAGCCTCTCACACAATGGTGAGATTGCCCCTTGATAGTTTGCGTCCTGTCCTTCCCTCAATGATAAGACTTCCCTGTAGACGGTTACATCTTCCCTCTTCCCACATTGGTGACATTTTCCCACAGTTGTTAGCATCTCTGCCCCTCCCACAACAATGAGATCCCCCTGCACACGGTTTTGTCTTCCCCTCTCCCACAGCCCTGTAAGATGGTGTCACTCTCTCACAACAGGATTCCTCTATACATAATCAATTATTTTTGTGATGGCTCCAACAGTTGGACCGAGCTGAAAATTCCAATCTGGAAATCTCACCACAAAAGACCACAAGAAATAATAGAAACCAGTGTGAGATTCCATATGTCGAAAACTGTAAGAAAATGAAATGATTTTGGTTTGAATTGATCTAAAAGCAAATTTCTTTCTTCCTTTTTAGTGTGGCCTTTCTGATCTGCGCAGCCATTGTGGCTTCTTGGTAATTTCATGTCTTCTCTCCCCAGGAACTGTCATGCTGCCTGTAGTTGCATTTCCTTTTGAAGATTTTTACATAGACAAGCATCATATTGCTCACACCCTGGCCAAGAAACACCAGATACTGCTATTCTATGCCGGATTAATAATGGCATCCATTGGTACTGGAGGAATTCGCTCCATTGTCTGCCCATTCAGCGCGTATAACCTGCAAGGCTACAGACAGAAGGAAATTATGTCATTCTTTAACTGGTTAGTGACAATTAGTCAGTCTGTCTCAGGGGCGGACTGACAACTCATGGGGCCCCTGGGCAATAGGGGATCATGGGGCCCATGTATCCTTGCCAAAACTCAAAAAAGCCTATGAAAAAGGTACCAGGGGCATCTCATGGGGCCCCCTACTGACCCCGGGCCTCGGGCAGTGCCTGAGTTTCCAAATGATCAGTCCGCCCCTGGTCTGTCTCTGTATGGTGTGATATAGAGTATGCCTGTCTCTCCTCTATATGGTGTGATATATAATGTTCCAGTCCCCCCTCTTTATGGTGTGTTTTGTGCTGGTCTCTTCTCTGAATGGTGTGATATACAACATGTCAATCTGTCTTCTGTTTGGTGTGATATACAGTGTACTATACCATACATCGGGCTCAATTCACAAAAATAACACACAGAGACACTTATTTTCAAAAAGGTGGCAGTTTATTTTTAGCCAATGAGACTTACAAATTACAGGCACATGTGTAGCGCTGACGCCCACAGGGCTCAATGGAACTAACTGGGTCTACTTTACCTGTTCAGAAGCCATCTAATAGGCATCATAGTTAAAGTGGTTGTAAACCCTGACATATAGCCAGTGAAGTGACTAGCCTGAGATAATACACAGAAATAAAAAAAAATCCTCTTCTTACATAAGGTGTACCTGTTTATCTGCAGCCATTTCATTGTTCGATTATAGGAAAAAAACACAGATCAAAAGATTTTTTTCTCAGCTCTAGCAGCAGGGGACGGGGATCTGATGTCACACACACCGAAGAGCAGAGGGAGAAGATATCAAAGAGGAGCCACACTTGGTGCTTTAGATTCAGGCTTATACAAACTATAGTGGGACATGCTTTGTCCATTTTTAATGTTTGAGGTTTACAAACACTTTAAAGCAAAGCTCCACCTAAAAGGGGAAGTTCTGCTTTAAGGCCTCATCCCCCACTCCGCATTAAGGATTGGCACCTTTGGGGAGCTGGTACCTGACTTTGACAGGTGCCCGCTCCCACTTCTGCTGCAACTGCCTAGGCAATCAGAAGCGGATTTTGTTCTCCCCCCTCCCTCCCTATAGTCTTCTGGGACATGTGACAGGTCCCAGAAGACTACGGAACCATTCACAATGCTCAGTGCTACTCCAGCATGTACAGTGGGTATCCGGCTGTGAAGCCGCAAGCTGTCACAGCCAAGAGCCCATCCTTAAGATGAGCCAGAGAGAGGCAAGTACTTTGAAACCGGCCACGGTGAGCACACCGTTGGATTGAGGAACAGGTGAGTGGCTGTTTTTTTTAAAAGTCACCAGCTACAATTTTTGTAGTTGCTGACTTTTATTTTTTTACTGGAGGTGTGCTTTAAGCTAGCCATACACTAGAAGAATTTTGTTAGAAAATGTAGAAATGTTGGAAAACAGCTATAGATATAAAAAAAATAGTGATAATCATATTTATGGTGATAATAGTGACTATAATGGTGATGTCAATAGGTATACAATTGATAATAGCACCCTTGTTTCCTGCAGGTTTTACTGGTTGGTGAATGTGAATTGCCTGGTTGTGTTTCTTGGGATTTCTTACATCCAGCAGTCAGTGGCAAAGAATCTCGGATTCCTTATCCCCTTCATTTCAGTAGTTATGGCACTGATCACCATCCACATGGTGCGTAACGAGCTCATCTACAAGCCGGTGAAAGGTCAGTTCATCTTTGCCTTTACTAACTGGTTCAATGCCTGTTTCTTTGACATAGTACTACTACAGGGTTCTAAGTATTACTTTCAGTGATATTATGTAATATTTGTAATATTGCATGATTTGTACACTCATCCTAGTGTGTTAGAGGGCCTGAAGTTCAAAGTAAAGAACAGAGGACCCATCCTAACCAGCAGCTCCTACAGGGGTAGTGCTACAAACATCTCTCACTCTGTATATAAACATAAAGTCCAAAGCCCAAAAGAAATAGTAAAACAAAAAAAAACAATAACCATCCAAAAGAAAAAACAAAAAGTCCAAAATAAAGTCCCAAAATATTATTTCAAAAAAAATCTTTATCTGTGATATCTTAATTCTTCATATTTTCCGAAATCTTTGTGATATACTTCAAACCAAATCTTCATATACCTCAAAGAAAAGAACTCAACATGTGTGATATCTTCAAAGAAAGGGGTATATAAAACGTGCCACACGTGTTTCATGCACATAAAAAATTAACGTGCCACCACAACCGAGAAAGAGGAAATCCCTCAGCCTTAGGAGTCAATCCACTGCATACCACTAGAGGAAGTGCATAGTTACCCTCAGAATGGTATCAAGGGTCTGAGTACTTCTTTCCAACCTTTAAATATTCCTTCAGCCTTTCCAGCCACTTCCCACAGACCTCATAAACAGACCAGGGATCAGTATGTATCATAAAACTTATAGCACTTTATTGTAGCAACTTACATTCAAATAAGATGACATCAGCTTCCACATCACAAACGATATGTTCACAATCCTGCCTCTCCTCATAAGTGTATAGATTCACACACTATCTCACTCCCAAGGGGGAACCGATTGCCTGTGGTAAGTCCCCAGTACCTCAAAGCCCCATGAGGATTCCAGGAAGCCACAGCCGCATGTACCAGGATCAAAAATGGCCATCGCCGCACTTCCGGAAGAGCGTCACTACGTCACCACGTCACGTGCCCCGGACGCGTTTCGTCACATCCGGACTTTGTCAACAGGGATACGGACGTGTCTCCTCATTCCCCTTAAGTACCAACCAGGGCGGGGAAATAATTGCCGCGGCCATCTTACATCCTGGAACACTGGATATCCTCACTCACCTATATGAGGCATATCAGGGCAGTGAGACGGAACACAGAGAAGCCATTATCAAAAACGGCAAAACTGTCACCAACACACCCCCCAATCTATAAACCGCATTTTCCACCAAAACATCATAACACTTCATAGAACTAATGTCAACAATAAGGGTCCAATGATAAACCCATATACAGACAAATATTATAAAAATATATAGATTAAAAATTATATCAATTAAACTATGTTCCCTCCCAATAGCAATGTAAACAAATATATCCTCTTTTAAAATGTATTCCACCCCCTAAAATTCATCTAGATTAATAAAAATATTAATACTAAATAATCCTAAATAATAAAAAAATAATCAAACATAATCATAAAATAATCTGAATAAAATAAAAAATAAAAAATAAAAAAAAAAAAAAAATAAAAATAATTGACTCCTAAGGCTGAGGGATTTCCTCTTTCACGGTTGTGGTGGCACGTTAATTTTTTATGTGCATGAAACACGTGTGGCACGTTTTATATACCCCTTTCTTTGAAGATATCACACATGTTGAGTTCTTTTCTTTGAGGTATATGAAGATTTGGTTTGAAGTATATCACAAAGATTTCGGAAGATATGAAGAATTAAGATATCACAGATAAAGATTTTTTTGAAATAATAATTTGGGACTTTATTTTGGACTTTTTGTTTTTTCTTTTGGATGGTTATTGTTTTTTTTTTGTTTTACTATTTCTTTTGGGCTTTGGACTTTATGTTTATACACTAATATTGATTAGAGGGTAATCAAGTTTACTATATATATTTTTTCGATGTTATTTGTACTTCCAGGGAAGGATTGTGTTAGTAACTTGGTGGGGATTTTATTTGTAAAAGGATAGTGCTATATGTTGAATATCTCTCACTCTGTGACATAAATCGCAGCGGGACAATATAAACCAGAATAAAAGTGGAATTTAATCAGAAAGTCATTAGATTTTAAATGTCGCTCATGAGACTGCTGTATCAATGTATATCCGATGTTGAGATATAAGACGATGATCAGTGGGGATGCCTCTACTGCTAAACTCTGCATGAGCTGCTTGGACAGCAAGGAGCTCTCTCACAGTAAATGACAGCATAAAACATTTTCACAATTATTATACAGGACGCTGTTCTGTATTCTTACATGGGAGACTCCACTATATTATAATTCAGAAATCTGCTGAACTACTATAAAGGAGGCTCCACCGCGTTGTGACACAGGAGGCTCCACTATTATATTACCTGAAAAATCTATACTATTACTACAAGGGAGGCTTTTCTGTATTAGTATACAGGAGGCTCCAGTCCACTGTTATATCACATGGAAGGCTCTGATGTATTACTTCAAGGAAGGATCTGCTGTATTGTTACATCGGAATCTACACCATTTTGTTATTCAGAAGGCATTGTATTACTACGATGGAACACTCTGTCAGTGGTCTTTGCTGGAAGACTGGTGGCCTCACTTTTCTCTTTTTTTCATAGATGGGGTTTACATTAAATGGTTGTTTGTTTTCCTTTCAGAGCGCGCACCATCAGAGGAATCATTTCCAAAACCTCCAATAATACCAACAGCTAAATGACAATTATGTTTTCTGATTTTGTGACATGAGTGTCCACACACTGCTGGCAAACAGCTCTCGTATCGGTGTTTTGCTGCTTGTAGTAAATATTAAAGTCTGTAATCTGACAGATGAAGAGCGATGTGAAATCTGGGGAACATTTGCTGCTGTTGCAGATACGCTGGAGTGTGTCCTGTCAGCTTCAGCTAATAACAGATAAAACATCCAGATGAGGTGAAAGAAGACCAAAAAATTGTAATTCAATTTAAGAATGTAAGAGAAAGAATTTGCTTTAATAGAAGTCACGCATGTGTTAGACACAGAACCCATTATACATGTGTAAAACAAAGCACTGCATGTAATGGGGAGGTCTTTCCTCCAACACCCCTCAGAGACAACACCATATGCATGGAGGGTGTGTGAGATTATCTGTGGTAATACATCAGTCTACAATGTATGGCAGGGCATAATATGTGTCACCAGGGGCGGACTGACAACTCATGGGCCCCCGGGCAATAGGGGATCATGGGGCCCCTGTGTCCTTGCCCAAACTCAAAAAAGCCTATGAAAAAGGTACCAGGGGCATCTCATGGGGCCCCCTACTGACCCCGGGACCTCGGGCAGTGCCCAAGTTTCCAAATGGTCAGTCTGCCCATGGTGTCACACTAACCTTGCATTACAGTAATGTACTTCCCTCACAGATCTGCAGGGTCTTCTCTGTCTTCTGTACACATAGTAGTATTAGTAGTAGTAAGAGTAGTAGTAGTTATAAATAGTGAGGGTTGTAAGTCATAGTATTGGGAGCAGTAAGTATTAGTAGTGGTAGCAAGTTGTTGTAGTCAGAAGTATTAAAGTGTTACTAAACTCAAGACCCTGCATTAACTATATCTGGTCTCCCACAGTACACACAACATGGAAATGCAAGTATTTTAGTAAATATAAACTGCTAAATACCTTTTCTCATCAGCAGTATATAGCAATCTTGTGACTTCTATCAGTGTCTGGCTGAGCACTGGTTATTCTTGCAGGAGGAGTTTTCATTCTCCTCTGACTGTCCTTTGAGGCTGCATAACCCCTTACCCTCTGTTTGGACAGCACTGATTGGCCCTGTGCTGATCACATGCATTCAGGGCTGGTGTTAGACTATTTTGTGCCCTTGGCAAGACCAGCTACGTACGCCCCCACCAAATAAATAAATAAATAAACATTTTAAAAACAGTAGAAAATATTAAATCAACAAAACATGAAACTGCTAAATGTCTTTTAATTTGCAAAAATAAGTGCCATAAGATACCACCAGCACCAATATTAAAGACAAATCAGTGTCACGGAAGGACTGAATCTGTGGCTGGCAGTGGCAGGGTTACAGTTGTAGTGAGTGGAGGATGAAGGATCCACACTCTGACAGATCCCAGGCTGGAATTCCTCAGGCAATGGAGGAGGGAGATAAAACACTGTGACTGTAGGCAGCCTAGCCCACACACATACAGAAAACACCTGAACTGAACGATACCACACAGTGACAGATCCGACACAACACATCACCAACACTGACACAGATCAGCAGGCACTAGAAGAGCAGGCTTTGGGATCGTGATGATGTCATTACTCACTGACACATTGCACATGTGATGAATGGCCGGACGGATCACACTCACACAGACACAAGATATCACACGAGTCTGACATTACCTTCCTCCGCAGGCACAGCTCCACTTCCGCTGATGAATGGGAAGAGAATGGCTGGAACTCCACAGTGATCATCAGCAGCCACCAGCCGGCTTGCAGTAAGGGACTGAGTCTGAGAGGAACACTGGAAGGAACGGCAGCTCAGCTGCTACACTGGCCTCAGACACTGGGCATCTTCCTCTTTCTTTTTTTCCTCCCCTCTGCCTCCCCTCCCCTCAGCTGGAGGATCATTCATGACATGGTGGCAATCCACGCAGAGAGAGTGCTGGCCTCTGCTGAGTCCAGGTGCCCCTACATGGCAGTGTGCCCTAGTTGGCTGCCTAGTTTGCCTAGTGGAAGCACAGGCCCTGCATGCACTCTCCCAAGAAAAAAAAAATAAAAACTCTCTAGCAATATACATCAAACTGAGCATGTGCAGAGTGTCCCTAAGGCTCTGTTCTGTCAGCAGATGGATTGGGGACAGAAGAAATAGGGGAGGATCAGAGAAGACAGGCTCAAACCTCCTTGTCTATATCAGACCTATCCCTGGTGAAGTTGGGTCTGCATTGCCTATTGGGTTAAGGCTGCATTTTCTAAGTTTGCTGCTTGGTCCCTATAGCATTTCCTGGATAACACCACTTTTTTTTCTATATTTTTGATGGTGTGGATTTTTTGCACTGGACTGCACAATGGTTTGTTTACACTAGGTGCGGTGGGATGTACTTTACCACTGTATAATTTGTACCATTATATGTGTAGTGTCCTCTAGATAGCTAGGAATGAGTCAGCCTGGGAGTGAGGTAGTAAGTTCACCTCAGGACAGGCTGGGAGGCACTACAGGTCAGGGCTTATGTTGCCCTCCCACCCTTACAGAAACTCAGAGCTTTCTGGAAGAGGGGCGGAGGAGGGAAGGAAGTCTAGATTTGCATGTTTAAGGTAACTTGGCCAATCCCCAGACAGGAGACTGGGCATGGTGACCAAGGACAACCCTTAAATGTGGCAGAGCCTGTGCAGCAGGGGAGTCAGGTGGAAGATGGACTGAGAGAAGGTTGGAGTGTGGAGCCTGGGAGAGGGCCCCAGGGTTCCTGCCTACAGGCAAGATGCTGGAAAGAAGGATCTCCACTGCCAGCCCAGCATAAGGCCTGAAAGCAGCTACCAACCCACCGTACTGACAGGACAGGACAGGAAAAAATGTGTGTTGCCTGGCCATGCAAAGGTAAAGGGGGGCCCAAACTCAGCAGCCCTTAAGAGGGTAGCTCTATATATGTCCCAGTGGCAAATGTTTTGCTGTATTTTAAGACTGACATGAATGTCCTGGAATTTGTGAAATAAACTTTACTTCTGAGTTAAAAAAAAATAAACAGACCTTTTATAGGGAATAGGTTCCAACTTATGTCCATAGGGCAGGGTCTTCTTTTTGAGCTTTATGGTTTACAAGTACGAAGAACTCCATACTCTGAGAGAGGTTGAATAGCCATTAGATGAAGAGTTTAGTAGTTGTGGTAGTAAGCCATAGTAGTATTTATACTACTAAACGTATTGTCTTTCAGGTACTTAGAGAATAGTTTCTAAGTACCTGAATTACCCAATGTACACAAACCCCTGATGGCTGTGGGTGGTCACATGCAGGTTAGTGTAATAGTTTTTGTCATATTTGGGAAATAGTAGAGCTCACTTTGGGAATGAAGTGTACCTAATGTCTAGCTCTAGGAGTCAGAGTTTGTTCCATATCTGTTCTATGGCACAGTTAATTTTAGTAATTGTCATGGTCACTGGGCTTAGGGTTCAGTGTCAGTTCAGCTCTATGTATACAAAGGAGCATGGGGGAGCTCTTGTCCATAATGGGCATGGTATTGACACAACCACACATGTTCATCATTGGCTCACAACTGATATAATCCAGAAATATTTAGACAGAATAAAGGTGAATAAAGCACATGGACCGGATGGTATACACCCACGGGCCCTTAAAGAATTGAGCTCTGTCATTTCAAAGCCATTGTTTCTAATTTATAGGGACTATTTAATGACTGGCATAGCACCACTGGATTGGCCAATGTGGTACCTATCTTTAGAAAAGGGATCAAAATCTTTACCAAGTAATTGTAGTCCTGTTAGTTTAACATCTATAGTTGGGAAGATACTGAAGAGTTTAATAAAAGACCACATAGATGAGTTCTTGCTGGAAAAAAAATATTTTAAGCAACAGGATTCATGAAAAACAGAAGTTGTCAAACATATCTGATGTCTATTTATGAGGAGGTGAGCAAAACCTTGGACAGAGGGGTGGCGGTGGACGTGGTATACTTGTATTTTGCAGAAGTGTTTGACACAGTCCCCTACACACGGCTAATGTGTAAAACAAAGTCTACAGGCTTGGAAAAATCCATATGTAAATGAATAGAAAACTGGCTAATAGATCGTATTCAGAGAGTAGTGGTGAATGATTCATACTCTGAATGGTCTAGGGTTGTTAGTGGTGTTCCCCAAGGTTGAGTGTTGAGACCCTTACTTTTTAATATACAGTACATCCAGAAAATATTCACATTGCTTAACTTTTTCTGCATTTTGTTATGTTACAGCCTTATTCCAAAATGGATTAAATTAATTTTTTTCCTCAACATTCTACAAACAATACAATAATGACAACGTGAAAGAAGTTCATTTTGAAATCTTTGCAATTTATTAAAAATAAACAATGAAAAAAACCACATGTACATAAGTATTCACAGCCTATGCCATGACACTCAAAATTGAGCTCTGCTGCATCCTGTTCCCATTGATCATCCTTGAGATGTTTCCACAACTTGATTGGAGTCCACCTGTGGGAAATTCAGTTGATTGGACATGATTAGGAAAGTCATAAACCTGTCTATATAAGGTCCCACAGTTAACAGTGCATGTCAGAGCACAAACCAAGCCATGAAGTCCAAGGAATTGTCCGTACACCTCCGAAAGAGGATTGTATCAAGGCACAGATCTGGGAAAGGGTACAGAAACATTTCTGCAGCATTGAAGATCCCAAGGAGCACAGTGGCCCCCATCATCCTGTAAATGGAAGAAGTTTGGAACCACCAGGAATCTTCCTAGAGCGGGCCACCTGGCCAAAATGAGCGATCGAGGGAGAAGGGCCTTAGCCAGGGAGGTAACCAAGCACCCGATGGTCACTCTGAAAGAGCTCCAGCATTTCTCATTGGAGAGAGGAGAACCTTTCAGAAGAACAACCATCTCTGTAGCACTTCACCAATCAGGCCTGTATGGTAGAGTGGCCAGACGGAAGCCACTCCTCAGTAAAAGGCAAATGACAGCCCACCTGGTGTTTGCCAAAAGGCACTTGAGGGACTCTCAGACCATGAGAAACAAAACTCTTTGGTCTGATGAAACAAAGATTGAACTCTTTGGCCTGAATGCCAAGCGTCATGTCTGGAGGAAACCAGGCACCGCTCACAACCTGGCCAATACCATCCCTACAGTGAAGCATGGTGGTGGCACCATCAGGCTGTGGGGATGTTTTTCAGCGGCAGGAACTGGGAGACTAGTCAGGATCAAAGGAAAGATGAATGCAGCAATGTACAGAGACATGCTTGGTGAAAACCTGTTCCAGAGTGCTCTGGACCTTAGACTGGGTCGATGGTTTATCTTTCAACAGGACAATGACCCTAAGCACACAGCCCACATAACAATGGAGTGGCTACAGGCCAACTGTGTGAATGTCCTGGAGTGGCCCAGCCAGAGCCCAGACTTGAACCTGATTGAACATCTCTGGAGAGATCTGAAAATGGCTGCGCACCAACGTTCCCCATCCAACCTGATGGAACTTGAGAGGTACTGCAAAGAAGAATGGGAAAAATTGCCCAAAAATAGGAGTGCCAAGCTTGTAGCATCATACTCAAAATGACTTGAGGCTGTAATTGGTGGTAAAGGTGCTTCAATAAAGTATTGAGCAAAGGCTGTGAATACTTATGTACATGTGTTTTTTTTTCGTTTTTTATTTTTAATAAATTGCAAAGATTTCGAAACGAACTTCTTTCATGTTTTCATTATGGGGTATTGTTTGTAGAATGTTGAGGGAAAAAAAATGTATTTAATCCATTTTGGAATAAGGCTGTAACATAACAAAATGTGGCAAACGTTAAGCGCTGTGAATACTTTCTGGATGCACTGTATTTATAAGTGATATAGGGTTGGGGATTAAAATATTGTTTCAGTCTTTGCAGATGACACCAAGCTGTGCAGTGGAATAACGTCCTTACAGGATGTCTCCAACTTACAAGCCGACCTCAATTCACTGTTTAATTGGGCAACTATGTGGCAAATGAGGTTTAATGTTGATAAATGTAAGGTTCTGCACTTGGGGGCTAAGAATATGCATGTATCATACATACTAGGGGGGGTTACAACTAGGGGAATCAATGGTGGAGAAGGATCTGGGGGTTCTGGTAGATCACAAGCTTAATAATGGTATGCAATGCCAAGCTGCGGTTTCTAAAGTGAGCAAAATCCTCTCTTGTATTAAAAGAGGTATAGACTCCAGAGAGAGAGATATCATATTACCCCAGTACAAATCATTAGTAATACCTCATCTGGAATATGCAGTTCAGTTTTGGGCACCAGTTCACAAAAAGAACATTTGGAGAAAGGCAACCAAACTGATAAGAGGCATGGAGGAACTCAGCTAAGAGGAAAGATTAAAATAACTGAATTTATTCTCTATTGAGGGGAGGAGATTAAGGGGGAATATGATCAACATGTATAAATACATCAGTGGTTCATATAGTAGAGGTAATCACCCTGAGGTCATCACGAAGGACAAGGGGGCACTCTATGTCTGGAGGAAAAGAGATTTAATCTCCAAATATGGAAAGGGTTCGTCACAGTAAGAGCTGTGAAAATGTGGAATAGACTCCCTCAAGAGCTGGTTCTGGCCAGCTCAGTGGATTGCTTTAAAAAAGGCCTGGATTCTTTCCTAGATACACATAATATAACTGAATACTAACATTGATAGGTAAGGTTTATCCAGGGAATATCCAATTGCCTCTCGGTGGATCAGGAAGGAATTTTTTCTCCTGCAGGAGCAAATTGGATCATGCTTTGCTGTTTTTTTTGCCCTTCTCTGGATCAACTATGGGTATAGGATTATAACTTTTTTTTTTTTTTTTTTGGTTGAACTGGATGGACTTTTGTCTTTTTTCAGCAAGACTAACTATGTAACTATGTAATCTATTATTTCTAATTTGCCTGCTTTTTGGTCAGTGACAATAAAGTGACCATAGATTGTTCTGTTCCGCACAGGTGGCTCTCTGCTCACTACGGCTGGCGTCTTCCTGAACGCGGTAAGAATGTGCTGTGTTCACTATCGTCATGTTGGTGGCTGTGTCTCCTCCTGGCTGGATCGTGCTAAGGAACATAATGGTGGTCGCTATAGTGAATACCATGTGGAGAACACAAAGGCACTGATGAAACTTCTGCCCCTCTTCACCCTTCAAATTGTTTACCGAATTTGTGTCACACAGGTGAGCAAGCTGCAGTGATATTCAAGGAGGTGAGCAAGATGGGATGAGTGAGGCAGTGATATTGGGGGAGTTGAGCAAGACACGGTGATATTGGAGTTGGTGAGCAAGCTGTGATGATATCAAAGAAAGTGAACAAGCCATGGTGATCTCAAAGGAGGTAAATGAGCGATGGTAATAAAGGGGGAAGTGAGTGAGGTGAGCAGCAGGAGGAGGTTATGACTGCAGTTAACTTCGAAAATTTCGCTGAGGTGTTTTCACACCAACATTTCCTCATTGCTAGTGTCCCGCAGCACACATTTGTGTTTTAAAAAAAATTTAGATTTTCATGGCAAGTCTTTGGTGTATTTCTGTATTTTGCAGCATTAAAATTGGAATATACCTGTGAAAATAAACGTGCAAAGTAATGTATGTGGAGGTTTGACAGGATATTCCAGATAAGTCAGTGACTGCATGGATCCTGCCTGTGCCATATTCTAGTGCAGGTGGTGGGTTCCTCATTTATGGGGCTGGTTATAAAAGCCATGACTGTTGGATTCATCAATTTTGACCCCATTGAACCCTAATAGACAGGCTGCACAACATTGGTTTGAAATTACCACAGCAGTCCTTTATATAACCACAATGAAACAATTAACAATTTTATAGATAACCAAAACAGAATTATCATACTGGCAAAAAACACGATAACTGTTGGATTCTAAGATGGGGTCATTGGTGTCCATTAGCCTAAAGACTTGTCTATGGTCCAACCCTGTCCCCTCTACTAACCCAAAGACAGCTTCAAATTGACCATATTCTGCCTTCCCAAAGTATTGAACCCTGGTAAAGACAATCAATACAGAAAGAGGAAGCACCATTCCGCTATATACTATAGGCACCACATTTTGTAACCATCCCACTATTTCACACTCCCCCAAAGACCCCCTACCAACCAAGCTGCTGTGACAAATCTTTCTATAATCTGACCTAGTTAAGATACAAGAAATGGGGAAAATGGTAGGATGACTTTTTCTCTCATCCATATTTCCAGAATTATGGAATCACACAGCTCCTACCCCCATGAATCCTTCTAACCACTTGACCGTCAACATCCATTCAGTAAGGCTTTTCGCTCCTACACTATCCTCTTACATTTTAACTCTTTCTTGGGACTATTCCTCTTCCAGTCACATAGCCCTTTGTCAATTTTATTCCTTCAGGTCTGTCAGTAAAATGTTTATCCCTCCACCAAACATTAGCCTGTTGAAGTTTTAATGATGGGTAGAAATAGATTGACAGATTGGTGCAAAAACAAAATAAGCACTGCAAGGTATGTGATTTCCGCTTCCCTCCGGTGAAAATAACATGTTATGCCCAGCTTCATATCTGCTAAAATATCTGCAACTTTGTCAGAGAAAACATCCGAAATCTTTCCAGGAAAACAAATTTCGCCAGACTGCGCTCATCTTTGTCCCAATTTAGAGAAGTGAGCAATGGAACAATAACTGGTTTTAGGAACAGGTGACACTGTTAGATGATGACACAGATAGATGATTGATTACTGAAAATGATTGATCTCTTTCTTTCCCCAATACATGGCTGTTAATATTACTCGCTGTGCGATCTGTTTGTGTTCTGCTAGGTAACAATGGTGTCTGCCTTTATTCAGGTCCCTGCTGGATTTTTCATTCAGTCAATGAATTCAAATTTGAGTGTGAGCGGAGTTCTTTTGCCAATCGCAGCAATGAAAATTGTTAGCATTATCCCGCTGATAATAATGGCCCCCTGTCTAGAGAGTGCCAATGCATACCTGTCTTCCAGACGTGGCTGTGGACTTCGACCCTCGACATCCATTGGTAAGGAAAACACACTCAGGCTTCTCTGTGGTAACACAGGCAAATATTTAACCACTTGCCTACTGGGCACTTTTACCCCTTTGCTGCCCAGGGCAATTTTCAGCATTCAGCGCTGTTGCACTTTGAATGACAATTGTGCAGTCATGTAACACTGTACCCATTTTTTAAATATTTATCATGTTTTCACACAAAAAGCCACAGTCACCCCTGGGTTCCTTATTTTTTGCACTATAAATGAAAAAAAAAAAAAAAAAAAGTTTTTCTTTGTTTCTATTATAAAATTTTGCAAACTGGTAACTTGTCTCCTTCACAGATGTGTGTTGATGAGGCTGCTCTGATAGGCAGCATTGATAGGCAGCACTGATGAGCCGGCACTGATTAGGTTTGCAATAGTGGGCATTGGTGGGGAGGCACTGATGAGGCTGCACTGATATGCGGCACTGATGGGCACTGGTAGGGTGCAATGATCGGCACTGATAGGCGGCACTGATGGGCACTAATAGGCAGCACTGAAGGGCAATGAATGGAAGCACGGACAGACAGCATTGACTGGCGGCACTGACGGGCACAGGTTGGCAGCACTGTTGGGAACTGATGGGCAGCACTGTTGGACACTGATGGGCAGCACTGTTGGGCACCTTTGGGGCTGCACTGATAATCAGTGCCCTGATTATTAGTGCAGATATCTCCTTTGACAGTTGCTGGTTACAGGCAGTACTTTCCTCACGTTGTTATTGGCCTTTTTCCATGTCATGTGATCAGCCAAAGGACACAGAGATCATAGAGAGCACTGGGTGCGCACCCTCCCAGAACTGGACCGCCATGCTGTAGCCGTCATATAGCGCGGTCAAGAAGTGGTCAATAAACAGTGAATCCGAGATTCACTAACCATATACTGCAAATGAATCTTCCAGGTGCAAATGGTTTAAATGAGTGATTAATTCACTGCCAGTGAATGCCTGGTGAAAATTACATTCACTGTTTTTTAAATAGGCCCCCTAGTAATGAAACAGAAGAATATCTCTGCTTATAAAGAAGTCCATCCAACTGTGAAAATGTTGTTTGGGATGGAGTTAAAAGGCTAGAACACTTTACCACACTGTGCGAGATGCCATAAAGATGGCGCCTAAAGACTGTGACTGCTTGCTTAGGGTTACAGATTTACTGGCTGTCCACTCTGATATCAGTATTATTTTTCAGGGTGCTTCTACAGAGCCTAAAGGAGCTTTCACACCCACAAATGAACCCAATGTCAATGTGAGAGTCACAGAGGGGGTTACTGGTGACTTGCTGCAGGAGGCAACCTCATTGAAAGCAATTGGAGGCTGCTGGTTTCTGCAGCTAATAATGGCTACTCGCCAGCGATAACATGGCCAATCACTTGTATGTGATCATTGCTCTCAGTGGGGATGTCTCCCACTAGGGTTGCCACCTCATCCCTTTAAAGCTGAACACATATTAATTACACAGGTTCTGGGGCTAATTTAATGCAGATAAGACACTAGGTGAGTTTAGGTACCACCTCAATCAGCCACAGAACCTGTGTAATTTATATGTGTTTGGTTTTAAAGGGGTGAGGTGGCAACCCTATCTCCCACAGCTATTTGATAGGAACCCCTATTGGAGTTCTCACATGTAACTGGCATCACGTGCATTTGTAGGTGTGAATGTACCCTATTACAGCTACAAGATTTTCAGGAAGCTGTCCTTTAAGACTTGTCAGTGACTTGGGTATCCTGCACCCTCAACCCTCCTTCCTCCATTTTTGGCTGAAACCTGCAATAAATCTTAAAATGATCTCTAGAATGGTGCCTGGGTTAGTCAGTGTGCTACTGGGACTGGAAACAGGGTGGGCAGCCTCTGAACAGGTAAGGGAGACCAACCTAATTTTCACTGGCTTCTCCAGGAGTCATCTCTGCATGTAACAGTGTTTGATTGTGGAGGGAAGACCCAGAATTATTGGTGGCATGTCTCTATCTCTACACTGCAGTCTCTGTCTCTCTGGTGGAATAAAAAAAAAGTGTGTGAGACAAGTTCTATCTGAGCTGGTACAGTTGCCCCCTAGCAGCCAGTCAGTTTCTTTCTTTTTTTTTCTACACTTGGAGAATGAAAATCTATTTTTTTTAATCTTTATACACTTAAAGTGGAGATCCAGTCTCTCCCCACAAAATTTAAAGTCAGCAGGTACAAACACTGTAGCTGCTGACTTTTACTATAAGGATACTGGACACCTGTCCAGGAATCCAACGATGTCCTCACCGGAGCCAATTCTTCCATCGGCTTTGGGTGGGGGGCGCCGGCATCTTAGGTAAGGGACGCTGGCAGTGAAGCCTTCTGGCTTCACAGCCAGTTTGTACTGCGCATGTGCGAGCCAAGCTGCTCTTTGTTAATGGTCGCACAGTCTTCTAGGACCTGTGACGTGTCCCAGAAGACTGCGGGGGAGAAGGAGGAGGGGGCCAAACTTCTTGACAGTTCGCCATGGCAATGTGACCTGGAAGTGGGAGCAGGTACCTGTCAAAACCAGGTACCCACTCCCCAATCCCTCCCCAAAACATGCCAAATATGGCAGTGGAGGGGGGGGGGTGCAAACAAGTTGAACCTCACCTTTTGGGTGAAATTCCATTTTAAAGTGATTGTAAACCCTTTCATATACCCAGTGAATGACTGGCCTCAGGTGATACATAGAGATTAAACAAATCCTCCTACATAAGTTGTACTTGTCTATTTGCAATCTTCTCTTTACAGCTGTTCAAAGTGCAGAATATTTAAAGCTTGTCTGAGAGTCTGGAAAAAGGGGGTGGAGAGCTGAAGTCACACTCTGCAGGGCTCAATGAGGAGAGCTCTGAGAGCTGATTGGAGGGAAGGGACACACCCCCACACAGCACACAGGAACAGAGCTGAGGCTGTCAATCTGTTGGAGGTGCCTCCCTGTCATCATTTTTCTCTTGGTGTCAGGAAAACTTGTCCGAAATGATTCATGCTGATACCAGAGGACAGAAATGACAGGTCGTGCTCTTAATTGAGACAAGTACACACTATAGAGGGATATGCTTTGTTTCATATTTCATGCCTGAGGTTTACAACCACTTTGAGAAATACTAAAGCATAACAGCAGAGGCCCAATGTTAACATAGGACATCCAGTACAAGATACGATAGGTGTTAGCAAACCAATAGCCCCAGCATTAACATAATCCCCAGGGTGTCCCAGGAGAACACCTTCAGATTACAAATATGGTACATTGGGCACCTGGGACAAAAGGTACAATGACAAATAAATATCAGTGGGGGGCTAAAATTGAGGGCCTACCTAAGTCTCCTAAGGTGAGAATGAAAATGTAATAGCTGATTGACTGTGCTTCAGTTCACACAATGTTTGTTCCAGACACATTTTATTATCCCCCCCATGCATAAATAAAATTTTCTTACACAAACTTGGTCTTAGCTTTGTCTCAACTGGAGCACAGCCAATAAACTTTTAAAGGGTCATATTTTAAGCTGTATTGAAAAAATGAAAGATAGAAGATGATTGGATGCATTGTACTATGGCACGAGTTGGAATAGGTACATTGAGGTTAAGAATGAAGAAAAAAGAGGGGGCCAACCTAGAATCCCAAACTGAATTCAGGAGAAGTCACCTCTTAAGTGTGACCCCACAATATATATAAAACAAAAAAAAATAAAAAAGGTGCTACTCAAACCAATAAATACAACACAAGTTTCCTATTAAGCCAGTGCAAATAATAGTGCAAAAAAACTATGAGGAATCAATGACCATTATCTCATAGAAAATCAAAACAAAAAATGTCCATAATGTACAGTGCCTTGAAAAAGTATTCATACCCCTTGAAATTTTCCACATTTTGTCATGTTACAACCAAAAACTTAAATGTGTTTTATTTGGATTTTATGTGATAGGCCAACAAAAAGTGGCACATAATTGTGAAGTGGAAGGAAAATGATTAATGGTTTTCAAATTTTTTTACAAATAAATATGTGAAAGGTGTGACGTGCATTTGTATTCAGCCCCCCGGAGTCAATACTTTGTAGAACCACCTTTCACTGCAATTACAGCTGCAAGTCTTTTTTGATATGTCTTTACCAGCTTTGCACATCTAGAGAGCAAAATTTTTGCCCATTCTTCCTTGCAAAATAACAGAAGTTCTGTCAGATTGGATGGAAATCTTGCCACAGATTCTCAATTGGATTTAGGTCTGGACTTTGACTGGGCCATTCTAACACATGAATATGCTTTGATCTAAACCATTCCATTGTATCTCTGGCTGTATGTTTAGGGTCGTTGTTCTGCTGGAAGGTGAACCTCCACCCCAGTCTCAAGTCTTTTGCAGACTCTAACAGGTTTTCTTCCAAGATTGCCCTGTGTTTGGCTCAATCCATCTTCCCATCAACTCTGACCAGTTCTCTGTCCCTGCTGAAGAAAAGCATCCCCACAACATAATGCTGCCACCACCATGTTTCACGGTGGGGATGGTTTGTTCAGGGTGATGTTCAGTATTAGTTTTCCACCACACACAGTTTTGCTTTCAGGCCCTATAAGTTCAGAGTAGAGCACCTTCTTCCACATGTTTGCTGTGTCCCCTACATGGCTTCTTGCAAACTGCAAACGGGACTTCTTATGGCTTTGTTTCAACAATGGCTTTCTTCTTGCCCCTCTTCCATAAAGTCCAGATTTGTGGAGTGCACAACTAATAGTTGTCCTGTTCTCCCACCTGAGCTGTGGATCTCTGCAGCTCCTCCAAAGTTACCATGGGCCTCTTGGCTGCTTCTCTGATTAATGCTGTCCTTGCCCGTCCTGTCAGTTTAGGTGGACGGTCACATGTCTTTGTAGATTTGTGCCATACTCTTTCCATTTTCGGATGATGGATTGAACAGTGCTCTGTGAGATGTTCAAAGCTTGGGATATTTTTTATAGCCTAAACCTGCTTTAAACTTCTCCACAATTTTATTCCTGACCTGTCTGGTGTATTCCTTGGCCTTCATGATGCTGTTTGTTCACTAATGTTCCCTAACAAACCTCTGAGGGTTTCACATAACAGGTGTATTTATGCTGAGATTAAAGTACACACAGGTGGATTCTACTTCCTAATTAGGTGACTTCTGAATTGTTTCCACTAGATTTTAGTTAGGAA